CTTATTCTAAACAAAAATGATAATACTTCCCCAAACCTGTTAGCACATTGTAGCGTTACTGACGAAAACGAATTTCATAGAAAAATAGAACAATTTTGGGAGATAGATGATCGCGCTAATGAACTCAATAAATATTCGGAAGATGAGATTCATTGTGAGGAGCATTTCAAAAATACCACAAAACGTACAAGTTCCGGTCGTTTCATAGTCAATATTCCATTTAATAAAAACGTTAATGATTTAGGGCAGTCAAAGGATCTCGCACTTAAGCGTTTTTACTCTCTTGAACGAAAGCTTGCTAAGAATCCCAAAATCAAATAGGAATATTCTAATTTCTTAGAGGAGTATGTGAAATTAGGTCACATGACCCTTGTCGAAAGAGATAACATTACTACACCTCACTATTATCTACCCCACCATGCCGTTTTAAAAGAATCTAGCGAAACAACCAAACTTCGCGTTGTTTTCGATGGCTCCGCGAAGACAACCTCCGGTATATCACTTAACGAAACACAGTATGTAGGTCCAACCATACAAAATGACTTATTTTCTATACTTTTAAGATTTAGAAAGCATTCATACCTATTTGATATTGTGGTACTCCCACGATTACTACAGTTGCTGCGGTACTGTTTGATATTGTGGTACTCCCACAATTACTACAGCTGCTACGGTTCTATTTGATATTGTGGTACTCCCACGATTACTACAGTTGCTGCGGTACTGTTTGATATTGTGGGAGTACCACAATTACTACAGTTGCTACGGTACTGTTTGATATTTTCTTCGATTTCCATCTGGTAAAAGCCAGACTTCATGTCCAGAGTAGTGAAGTAACGTGCATGGCACAAGGCATCAATTTGGTCTTGAATAAGAGGTAGCGGGTAACGTTCCTTAAAAGCAAGTTTGTTAAGGTGTCTGTTCGGTTTTATCAAAGACTTTTACAACAAGCATAGCTAGATATAAAATTTTATTTTAGTTTGCAAATTTGTCACTTTTAATTCTAAGTTATTCATAGTCATGTTCGACCATTTGGGTCATTTTACAATTCAATTTGCAACCCTCATCTGGCTTTCCCAAATTAAGGTAGTTTCAGTCGTCTCGCTCGCTATATCTATTATGCTACAAATACATTATATATTCATCAGTGAATTATGTATCTTCTTTCTAGCTATTTACTTCCACATTTATATAATCAGTTAATTCAGGCAAAAAGGCCGAGCGGCATGGCCTAGAGGTTTAGACCATTGCTTAGCATTCGGGANTGATCCTACGCATGATTTAGATTTCGAGACATTTGAAAATAGCTTTTTTGATATCACCGCAAAAATTAAGTACTTTATTAACAAAAACAAAAATAATTCAAATGACAATATTAAAAAACCCGTCAACTTAGATCCCGAAATGGGGGAAGGTTTGTTACGTTTACCCAGCATTCAGTTGCCAACTTTCAGCGGTGAATTTGAAAATTGGCTTGAATTTCACGATGCCTTTGATTCGCTTATACACAGTAATTCACGGTTATCGAACATTCAAAAATTTTATTATTTAATATCAGCATTAAAGGGCGAAGCGTCACAAGCTATCAAATCGCTTAAGGTTTCTGCTGATAATTATTTAGTTGCCTGGGATATTCTAAAGAAACGCTTTGAAAACAAAAAACTGATTGTTCAAAACAATATTAAATCCCTTTTTAATTTAGAAACAATTTATAAAGATTCATACACATCCTTA